AGTTGATGCATTTCTGCAACATCATTAATCTTTGTATAGATATATAATCATCAATGTAATCAACCCCCTAATTTTGAGATTCCAAACAAGGCTTTGTTGACCATCTTTGATTCTACCATGCCACTCTACATATTATATTCACTGATAATTTCCTTAAGAGAAATTCTCTTAAAGAGAAATTGCCTTGTCAAAGGATGTGAACATGTAAAAGATGTTTTACATATTTTCCCAATTGCTCTTCAAAGAAGTTGTACTGACTTCCCACTCCCCCTGTCAGTGCACATACTGTTACTTTAAGACAAGCTCTAAAAAAGAAGATTGTGATAAACTCATGTGTGTCCTTTTTATCTGTGAGTAGCCAAATACAATGCAAATAGAATTGCTTTCTACATCTAAATTGGGATTAGGGTAGTCAACTCAGGCTAATCAGGGCCAGCAGGTGGATTTCTCCACAGCTGGGAGCTTGAAATGTAAAACAATGCATAAAAATAGAAGAAGAAAGGAAACGCCTACTCAAGGAAAGGTGAAGCAATTTGTAGTGTACTTTTGCTGACCTTGTAAAATTGCTTCTACTAATATATGTTTTACAAAAGGGCTTTGGGGAGGTCCTTTCGAGGCTGGAGGGTAAAAGAACTAGGAAGGGCCCTGACCGGTTTGGCTCAGTGGATAGAGCATTGGCCTGCGGACTCAAGGGTCCCAGGTTCGATTCAGGTCAGGGGCATGTGCCTTGGTTGTGGGCCCGTACCCAGTGGGGAGTGTGCAGGAGGCAGCTGGTCGATGTTTCCAGCTCTCTATCCCTCTCCCTATCTCTCTGTAAAAAATCAATAAAATATGTTAAAAAAAAAAAAAAAAAAGAACTAGGAAGGGGCTTGCCAGGCTCAGAAGCCATTGGAAGAGAGGACCTCAGGAAGTCCAGACCGAAAAATCTAAGGAGTAATGGTTAGCAACTCATGCTTACACAGCACTTCATACTTTACAAAATACATTTTTTAAAGAAACAATCTCTCTCTCTCTCTCTATATATATATATGTGTGTGTGTGTGTGTGTGTGTGTGTGTGTGTGTGTGTATTTCAGAGAGAAAGGGAGAGGAAGAGAAAGATAGAAACATCAATGATGAAAGAGAATCATTCACTGGCTGCCTCCTGCACGCCCCACACTGAGGATCAAGCCTGAAACCTGGGCATGTGCCATGACCGGGAACTGAACCGTGACCTCCTGGTTCATAGGTTGACACTCAATCACGGAGACATGCTGGCCAGGCCTACAAAATACTTTTAATGAAATGTAGGGAAATAGCAGGATATCTGCTGTAGTAGGACCATGGCAGTGGATGGTGCTGGGGGGGTGGGGGGAGGGGCGTTCTACACTAGCACTGCACTGGCCACTCCTAACTTCTTGTGACTTGAGGTATAGAAACCACTTACTTTTTCCTTCAACAGCACTTGGCTGCTCTAGAGTGAAGGTTTGTGTTCCCCCAAAGTTCATTTGTTGAACCTAATTCCCAATGTGGTGGTATTTTGGGGGTTGGGCCTTTGGGAGGCGATAAGGTCATGAGGATGGAGCCCTCATGAATGGGATTAGTGCCTTTACATAAGAGACCCCAGAGAGCTGCCTTGCCCTTTCTGTTGTGACTGCCATCTATGAACCAGGAATCTTCCCAGACACCATATTTGCCTGCACCTTAATCTTGGACTTCTCAGCCTCCAGAACCGGGAGAAATAAATGTTTTTTTTGTTTAAGCTACCCAGCCAATGGTATTTTTGTTATAGCAGCCCAGACAGACTGACACCTGCTACCTTTTACATGGTAAATGCAATCCTAACTCCTAGCTGGGGGTGGGGGTGGGGGGCTGTTGCAAGATGTTATGTAACTATGACAAGGCAAACCCTGCCAGAAATAGCATGACAGTCTCTCTCTCTCCTCTCTCTCTCTCTCTCTCTCTCTCTCTCTCTCTCTCTCTCTCTCTCTCCCTCTCTCTCCTCTTCTTGACCTTCCTTAAAGTATTTCTCTTTGTTTCCTTTCTCCCAAGCTCCAAGGGCCCTTCTTTTGCCTCTGAAACTTGTTTTCTGAGTCCATGGAGCCCAGCTTCTTCCATGGCTTACTTCTGCTTTGCTTCTGCCACTGTGACTTTCTAAATAAACGTTTGCTTGTATTTGGAAAGAAAAAAAAAATGGAACGTTAAAGAGTCCGGAGGCATAGGAAATGCTGGGTGGTATGCTAGTGATAGAGCAGTGGGTAATGTCTACTTGACCCAGGGAGGATGTGCATAGTGAAGAGAAGAGAGCTAAGGAAAATTCAGAGGAAGGCCAACATCTTAGGGTAGGGAAAGGGTCAAGGAAGAGGGGTGAGAGAAGGAGAAAAGGAAGGAATGGCCAGACACCCAGGAGGAAACCAGCAGTTAAGTCAATGGCTGGAGAAGAAACAGGAAGGACAGATGCACTGTTAACCTATTTGAAGGATTTCTTGTGGGAAAGAGGTTACACTTGTTTTCTATAACAAGTATGTGACAAGCATAAAAACACAAGAGGTAAAACAAACCCTGTGGTGAAGGTGCGGGTAGGAGGATCTGGAGCAATAATTAGTGTTCTTGTCTAGTCTGGATGCCTTCACCTCCCCATCTTCGTCTGTTAATAACCTGGCCCTTGGTTATAAAGTGGGCAGTAATATTATTCTATCCCTCTGGCCACAGTGACTGGTCCAGTGATAGGCACATGATGCCAGGCAAGACAATCAGAATTCTTATCCAAACATTTTCTAATTGGACTAGTCTTCTTTTCTTTTCTTTTGGTGATGGGATTTTTTGGCCATGAGCTCAGAACTGGAGGGCATGCTGCCTGTTGAGCATTGAGAGTTTGTCTGCAAGAGCAGAACTTCAGCACACATTTTCCTAACATTAATTAGTTACGAGTTGATTAATTAATAGAGAGCATGATTTATGTGATGCATCAAGAGCTGTTGTTATATCCTCATCCAGAACTAGCAAGCAGAGCAGGAGAATCATGGGTGGAAGCAGCACCAGCCTGCAATGTCTGAGTGACTATATGCTTTGCTTATCGAAGCAGTGGGTTGTAAAGTTGATAAGAATGTGTACAAGTTGTATTAGTGAAAAGGATGGCGGAGATAGTAAAAGAAGGATTGTTGCTCTTGAGTAAGAGCCATATGTAATATGGAAATAAAAGGCATAGAGAGCCTTAGATTCATGCAAGGTTAATATTATTGATGGGAAGTGCAGGAATAAAAGAATATAGTCACTAACTGTTATGCTACTTGGTAGGAAAAGAATCCTTTAGAAAACTAACGAGGTGAGGGGGAAATCCGTTTTAAATTTAAATCTATTAGATTACTCATATGAAATGCCATTTTTAAAGTCAAAACTGTCAAAGAACAGCAATTGTACATGATTTTCCCTAATATATAGATTGTCCTTTGTTATGACAAATAAGAACCAAGATACTTTGAGGTATTAAATAGCTAAGTACAGTTTAATCATAAAGTTCCTGTTTAATTTCCCAGGAACATAATTTTTAATTGCAACTAGTGGGATTTGGGAATGCTTCAAGGAGAGGTGTTTGCAATGGTGTTGAAGACTGCTTGACTTAGTAGTAGAGATAGAATAGAAAAATATCCCAGGCCATGGGCAGTAGCCTAAGTAAAAGAATGGATAGCACAGTGAGTACAGTATGCTACCTTTTGTGTAAGAAAGGAAAACAAAGTATATATTATTTGCTTGTGTAAATGTTTAAATTTTCTGTATTCTTAGAAGAAATTAATGCCAGTGGTCGACTTTTTGGAGTTGGGTATGGAATCTGGGTGGATGGGGGACAAGGTGTAGGGAAGACTCCTGGGTGTCTGGCCATTCCTTCCTTTTCTCCTTTTCTCACCCTTCTTCCCTGGCCCTTTCCCTGCTCAGTGCACAGGCATGGAAACATGAAATGGACTGATGAATCTCAGAGGGAAGTGGGGAGAGGTTGGGCAGGAAGAGACGAACCAAAGATCTTATATGCATACTAGAGGCCCAGTGCATGAATCCTGGCCTGCCAGGATTAGGCAGAAACCAGCAGTCTGACATCCCCGGAGTGGTCCTGGATTGCGAGAGGGCGCAGGCCAGGCCGAGGGACCCTAGTAGTCAAATAAAAGAAGTGAGACCAATAAGAGTAATGTGGTACACAAGGTGTGTCCCTTAGAATGCTTCCTATACTTTACTGCGCTCACAAGTCATTTGGGGATATTGCTAAAATGCATATTGTGACACAGTAGGTCTGGGATAGCACTTGAGAGTCTGCATTTCTGCACACTCCCAGGTACTGCTGGTGCTGGTGGTCTGCAGATCACATTTTGATCCACAAAGCATTGCATCTCAACCTCAACCCTCTGCTTCTCCTTCTGTCTCTCCAAGAGCTCAGACTTGGTGTCCAAGGTGTAAGCACACACAGCACAAGGCAGAGAAGGAGGCAGAGATCCCCTTTCCATCTACAAATTGTGTTTATTTCCTCATCGGGTTATCTGAATGGATCCATTTTAGAAAGATAATACAGATGTCAGCATGAGGCATAGAAAAGAATCATGAAGAAATGAGAGGCAGCTATATCAAGCAAGAGTTGACAAGGGTCCTTAAAGATTAGAATGGAAGCAGGCACTCAACCAGAGTGACTCAGTTGGTTGAGTGCCATCATGCGTATCAAAAGGTTGCTGGTTTGATTCCTGGTCAGGGCACATACCCAGGCTGTTGGTTTAATCCCTGGTTGGGGGCAAACAGAAGACAACTAGTGGATGCTTCTCTCCCCTCCCCCCTCCCCTCCTCTCTCCTCCCTTCCGCTTCTCTCTCTCTCTCTCTCTCTCTCTCTCTCTCTCTCTCTCTCTCTCTCTCTCTCTCTCCCCCTTCCTCTCTTAGCATGTTCTTAAGTGAGGATTTTTTTTTTAAAGGAAACATTTGAGATCTTGCTCTCCAGCACATGTCGTCAGAGATTGGCTCAAATAAACTCATAACAATTTTCTCTAGAAAAGAAAAAAAGAATGGAAGCAGCCAGAGAGATTTTTCAGAGGTCACCTCAGCTGGCTGAGGAAGCCAACCTGATGTTAGCAGGAGAGTGAGAAGGAAGGAATAAAGGTGAGTCCAGAGTTTTGTGCCTGGATGTGCCTAGAATGATGAGGGTGCCATTAGCTTGTGGGGGAATATGAGTTCAGTTTTATCCCTTATATCTAGGAGAAATCCTAGATCTGAACAAAATGGTAAAATAAATATAGTAATGGGTATCAAGTGAGTATGGACATGAAGTACAAAATGTTTAGAAATAAGAATGTTAGGGCACATGTTCATTGAGTGGAAGAAATCTAAAATAATGGCGGGGGACTGTTTTGGTAGTGTAGGGTAGTGCTACCAAGAAGTTTAGATAAAATAAAAAACCTTTGCTCATAAACAGACATGTAACATTTTCTTCTGTAACAAACTGTTGTAAATCTTTCAGAAAACCTTTGAAGCTTCCAGGAAAGTCAATCCAGTCCCTGACATATCTGCTCCGATATTAGAGTCTGAGTTGCTGGAGTTACCTGTCTGGTATCTTTTATGAGCACTGCTTGTACACAAAATAGTCTTCTGTGTTCCCTTTTAATGAATGCATTTTGGAATGTAAATGTCTTTTCTAATTGTTTAAAATTTATTAACAATTTTACAGAAAAAGGTGCATATAAAACAACTTGGTAGAGCTTTTGGATCCTCAGTTCTTATTAGTGCACTACATAGCAGTATATGCTCCTGGTGGTAATGGCTGTGAATCATTGGTGTGTAAGTTATTTAATGACCACTCATCCCTTTGCAATGTGCCCTAGATGTTCCCCTCATCAAAATATGGAGTCTGTTGCCTCTCTTCCTGAATCTCAGCTGGCCTTATGACTGGCTTTGACCAAGGGATTACAGTATCTGCTCTTGCCCTCTTGCAATGTACCACAAATATGTGAGGAAACTTGACCTAGACTGCTTCCTGTGAGAGACTATGTTCAGAGATAGAGGCCCACCCTTCAGCCAGCACCAAACTCCAGACATCTACAGATGAGTCTGAATGAGTGAGCAGGGGCCAGATTCTGAAGGACTTTGTGAGACATGCTAAGGAAGTTGGACTCTGTGGCATGGACAGAGGGAAGTCACTGAGGCGTCCGAAGCAAGGGAGGGAACTTATCAAACTTACATTTAATTTTATTATTTTTTAAAAAATATATTTTATTGATTTTTTTACAGAGAGGAAGGGAGAGAGATAGAGAGTTAGAAACATTGATGAGAGAGAAACATTGATCAGCTGCCTCCTGCACATCTCCTACTGGGGATGTGCCTGCAACCAAGGTACATGCCCTTGACCAGAATCGAACCTGGGACCCTTCAGTCTGCAGGCCAACGCTCTATCCACTGAGCCAAACCGGTTTCGGCCAAACTTACATTTTAGAAAAATAAATCTCACAGTAGGGAGAAGAACAAATGGTTTGAGGAAAAACCTGGAGTTAGAAGATCTGTAGGCAGAAACACTATGGCAATAGCACAGGTGAGAGATGAGCTGGGACTGAACTAATATAGCAGCAACAGAACTGTTGAGATGTGGGGCATGAGGAAGTGGGAAGACTTACCGAAGGGTAACTAGGGTGGCGACAGATGTACCGACTAAGATAGGGAATGGGGATGGGGAGCAGGAGGAGACAGCACCATGGGAAAGAGAATGAGTTCATTTTGGGTGTGTTGGATTTGAGATACTATGGCATGTCCACATGGAGAGGACTATTTGTCAATTGGGTATGATGATGGAGGGTTCTGGAAGAAGTCCTGCTAGAAATAGAGATTTGGGAGTTCATCAGGACAAAGGTAGAAGATCCTAGAAGGTAAATAAAGTTAGTTAGAATAACACGTGAGGTGGAAGGGGTGGGCATTGAGAAGGGACGCCAAAGAAGAAGCCTGAAGAAGAGAGGCCCAAAACAACTGTGAAAAATGCAGGTCTTAGAAGTCAGGTTGAACATTTCCAAAAGAGAGAACCTACAGAGAGGTAGGTGAGGTAAGAGCCGCAAGGTAACCTCTGGATTTGGGAATTAGATAGTTGGTGAGCTTTCCAAAGCAGTTTTAAATGAGTGATAGGAGTGAGAGCCAGACTGCAGAGAGATGAAGAAACAGATGGAGGGAATTAGATTTCCCTTTCAAAAAATTTAGCTGCAGATAAAAAGAAAGATGATGGTATCAAGATTAAAATCAGTTTTTGTTGGTTTGTTTCTTAAAATAACAAATATTTGAGCTTGTTTACAGGCTATGGAGAGCAAGGGACTGGACAAGCATTGGAGTGAAGCAATAGTTGATGGAATGGGACCCTGGAGTTGGGAGTAGGAGATGGTGTAGTGATAGAGGGATTGGGTAGGAAGTGAGCCATTTTGTCCTTTGAGACTGGAAGGCTAAAACCCCAATAGAAAATGAAAATCACCCTAGCCGGTTTGGCTCAGTGGATAGAGCATCGGCCTGCGAACTGAAAGGTCCCAGGTTCGATTCTGGTCAAGGGCACATGCCTGAGTTGTGGGCTCGATCCTCAGTGGGGGACCTGCAGGAGATAGCCGATCCATGATTCTCTCTCACCATGGATGTTTCTATCTCTCTCTCCCTCTTCCTTCCTCTCTGAAATCAATAAAAGTAAATTTTTAAAAAAGAAAAGAAAATGATAATCATTCATTTTAGAGGACACCACCCTGCTTTCTGGTGTGGTTTGCCCCAGAAGTTTTCAGCAACCTGGTGTAGATAGAATGTTGGATTTGCTTACTGTTGATCACGGAGACAGTTTCTAGTTTTTCAATATTTTAAATAATGGCAAAAGCCATTTTTTATTAGTTCTTTTTTTCTTAAAAAAGTATAACATTACTAATACATTCAAATGCCTGACATACTTTCTCTCCCTTTCTCCTTTGAGGTAACCACTGTCCTGAACTGGCAATATGTCATTCCCATACAGCTAACGTTGGATTGCACTAAGTATTTATTATCCATAATTTATATAAACATTTTTTTGTATGTTGAAAGACTTTTTTTTCAAATTATAAAAGAAAGTTTATTTAGAAAGGTAGTGAGGTAGTAGAAATGAGCCAGCTGGGCTGCATAGTCTCAGGAAACAAGTTACAGAGGCAGAAGAAGGGCCCTCGGAGCTTTTGAGAGGGAAGGGAGAGGTAATGCTTCTGAGGGGAAGGAGAGGAGAAAGGAAAAGGTGCAGGCCTGCTCCCAGAGGGAGACCGCCTAAATAATTTTAACAAATTAGTATGTTACTGTACTTTTCATTCTGAAATTTGCTGCTGCTTTTTATTTTTTTAATCCTCTTCTGAGGATATGTTTTTATTGATTTTCAGAGAGAGAGAGAAACATCGATGTGAGAGAGAAATGTTTACTGTTTGCCTCTCATAGGCACCCTGCCCAGGGATGGAACCTACAACCTGGGCATGTGCCCTAACTGGAATGATACCAAAGACATTTTGGTGCATGGGACGATGCTCAACCAACTGAGCCACACCGGCCAGGGCCAGATTGTTGGAGTTTAAATTTCAGCTAGTTAACTTAAAGTCTATGTAATCTTGATGAAATTACCTAAACTCTTTTTACTTTCTTTAGTTCTCCTCCCTTTCTCCCTTTCCCTCCCTCCCTCTCTTCCTCCCTTCCTTCCTTCCTTCCTTCCTTCCTTCCTTCCTTCCTTCCTTCCTTCCTTCCTCTCTTTCTTCATTTCTTCCCTTTCTTTTTGCTTCAGTTTCTTCATCTATAAAGTGGGGTGATTAGTAGTACCTACCTGTTGGATTTTGTGGGAATAATATGCATTAATACATGTAAAGTGCTCAGAGCTAGAGTTCCAGTCAAGATGGCAGAGCAGGTAAACACTGCACTCACCTCCTCCAGCGACTGTTAAATTAGACAACCAATCAGTCTGAGGGAATCCCTCCCATTTGTGGCAATAGCAATCGAGGCTCAACTACAACAGAAGGGCAGACACAATCCACATAAGGGAAACCCCAGAGCACTCAGCTCAGTTTATCAGGGAGACTAGGCCTCACAGGACACCTACTATAAAAGGCCACTCTACCAAGACTGGGAGTTATAGCAGCTCCACTTAATACATAGAAACAAAGATGGGGAAGCAGCCCAATGAGAAGACAAAGAAACAAGTCCCAAATGAAAGAACAGAACAACACTCCAGAAAAAACCTAAATGAAATGGAGGGAAGCAATCTACCAGATACAGAGTTCAAAATATGGGTTATAATATGCTCAATGAACTTATGGGAAGAGTCGATAAGTTCAGTGAAAATTTAAACAAAAAGATAGGAAACATAAAAATGGAATTTGTGTTACAGGTTTGTTCCCCTATTTGTATTAAAGCCCAAACAAATGCAAACCAAAGTAAAAGTTTATTTAAGGAAATTGTGCCATTCCTGGAGTCACAGGTGAACTAGTGGTCTAATTGCTGGTTCCCCCAATTCCTGGCCTGCATGGCACAGATTATATATGGGGGGTGGGATTATTCATGGCGATTAAGGGAGCAGGGGTCATAGGCTCTTCTGATTCATTGGAGCCAGGGTAGGGAATAGTTCAGTGATGGCGAACCTATGACACGCATGTCAGAGGTGACAAGCGAACTCATTTTTTTGGTTGATTTTTCTTTGTTAAATGGCATTTAAATATATAAAATAAATATAAAAAATATAAGTCTTTGTTTTGCTGTGGTTGCAAATATAAAAAAATTTCTATATGTGACATGGCACCAGAGTTAAGTTAGAGTTTTTCAAAATGCTGACACGCCGAGCTCAAAAGGTTTGCCATCACTGGGGTAGTTGATCATTATATCAGGTCTCGTGGTCAGCTATGGCGCCAGTCTGTCTGGGTACATGAGGGTGTGGTGGGTAGCATCATTCCACTCTCCTGGGCCTGGGGCTGAAACACAACTGAGATCAAGATGTTATCTTCAGTTTGACTAAAACTCGGTTCCCTTGATCAACAGACTTGAGGCTTAAATCAGTCTGACACTGGCCAGAACCTGATGTTCTAAGGCAGTGGTTCTCAACCTTCCTAATGCCACGACCCTTTAACACAGTTCCTCATGTTGTGGTGACCCCCAACCATGAAATTATTTTCGTTGCTACTTCATAACTGTAATTTTGCGACTGTTATGAATCGTAATATAAATATCTGATATGCAGGATGGTCTTAGGTGACCCCTGGGAAAGGGTCGTTCGACCCCCAAAGAGGTCGCGACCCAAAGGTTGAGAACCACTGTTCTAAGGGCTCTAAGGTAGAAGGGAAAAAAAGAAACGAGGAAAGAGAGTCATGGTGCCACTAGACTGAGTCAAGAAGACAGAAAGGAGGATGGGTCATGTTAAAGAAATAGAGTTTCTGTGTAAATTAGAAAACACTAAAAAAGAACCAGCCAGAAATGAAGAAGACAGTAATTGAAATGAAGAATGCATTAGAGGGAATCAACAGTAGATTAGATGAATTAGAGGATCTAATTAGCGATTTGGAATACAAGTAGCAGAAAACACCTAATCAGAACAGCAAAAAGAATAAAGAATTCAGTCAGGAGACATACAAGAAGCAACCCATGAATGCATAAATCTTTCTCTCTGTCTCTTCTTCAAATCAATAAAAAAAAAAAAGAAGAATAAAGAATTCAAAATAATGAAGATAGGGGCTTCTGGGACAACATGGAGCATAACAACATTCTTATCATAGGGGAACCAAAGGAGA